ATCAGAAATACAATTTGGCTGCCATGGCCGCTATTTTGCTACTAAATTCTAATAGGCCGATCTCACTTAAAATTGGTCTAGGAATGATCAGCTCATGGTCCTGACAAAGTTAAGTTAACATTATACTATTTTTTACTCAAATTGGTACATATTTCAAAAAAAAAAAAAAATACTGTAGACTCAGGTGACCGTTAAGGCCCATGGGCCTCTTGTTGTATAAAAATCCTGTTCTCTAAGACAATATATTGATATGAATGTTGGGAAATCCTGGGTGGTACACACTTTATACAGAAGAACTAATTAACTCGAAGACAAAATGATAACAAAAGGCCCAGAATATGTTTAAAATAATCGGTATGAAGTAAAGATATATCACTCCATGGTAGGTGCCGAAAGTACATATAGACACACCATTTATACAAAATTGGTTCCCCTTCACCCAAGGATGCTTCATACCAAATAAGGACAAAATCCTGTCATTCGACAGAAGAAGAAGGTTTTATGAAGAATTTGCTATGTTTCCCCTATTGGGCCCCATCCTTCTGCCTCCAAGGGGGGGCACGCTCACTGTTTATACAAAATTGAGTTCCTTTTGCCAAAGGATGCTGCAGACTAAATTATGATAAAATCCCCTTATCCCTATGATAGAAGAAGGATTATAAAGGTTTTACCTCAATTTCCCCTATTGGGCCCCACCCCCTCAGGTCCAAGGGGGGCCACACCCACTGTTTATACAAAATTGGTTCCCCTTCACCCTAGGATGCTTCAGACCAAATATGGAACAAATCCTTTCATTCCTACAGAAGAAGAAGGATTTTAAAGAATTTGTTATATTTCCCCTTTCGGACCTCGCCTCTCAGCCCCTAGGGGGGCCAAACCCACAAATTATACAAAATTTGGTCCCCTTCCCCAAATGATGCTGCTGACAAAATTTGGTCAAAATCTACTTGGGCGTTCAAGACTAGTAGCTATAGGGTTTTAAAGGAAGAGTTGACGGACGGACGGACACTGTGGTATGGCATAGGCCACCACACAAAAAAATCCTTCTCAAAAATCCAAAGAAAACTGGTACTATGAAGTGTTGTCAACACCTGGAATCTTCAACAATATCTTTTGATTTATGATACTTTTATTAATAGCTAAGACTAAGAATGATAAGGACATAACAAACAATGGTTGCCTCTGATTGATGAAGTATACCAGTAACTACCAGTACAGCTCTAAGAGGAATAGATATTGATACACCTATACATCAGTTGAGTCTTGTGTTTCCCGTCCGAAGTAGAGTTCAACCTTTTTAAGTGTAACACCAATTTTTTATTCCAACTTGCTGTAAGAGGAGTGGCACTGGGTAGACTTCGGATGTAAATACTCCTTGTTCTGCTCTCACACTTGGATCTTCACATTAAATGTGGATCTTTTACTTCTTTTTGTTAAGTAGTATTTCATGATATGTTTAAACATTTATTTAATAGTAATAAATAGTGTCAGCTATTGCTTTATTTTGATGAATTGACTGTATAGTGTTGTATGTATGGTCAGGTATCTCCAGTAAAGAGGAAGCAACCTATGTCTGTTGTTGGGAACGTCAAGCGAAAGTTCACAGAGTTTGAGGAGGAGGAAGAGTATGATCCCTACAATCCTGCTGTGGGCAGTGTAGCCAGTGTTATTAGAGTTACAGACAGAAAGTGAGTAGCACTTTGATTTTGAAATATGTCATGTACATCAGGTATAGAATGTGATAACTAGTTTTATACAATGTAATTGACATTCATCACTTTATCTCCCATTGTAATAGGCTGTTAGCTATGTTTAAGGAAAGTTAAAGTGTAAAATGTATTTGTTAGAGATTCTCAAATATGTTTCTCAAATGTGACTAAATAATATATAATTTTATGGTAAGATAAAATAACGATTTTTCATACAGAGCCAACGCTTTATGTCATTGACATTTATCATTATAAATGATTGAATCACGACTACATCTTAGTTTGATTATAAGAAAAGGTGTCAATAGCAACAAGCTCGGGATCAGTTGATTTTCTTTATTAGGATACATCTACCTGTTTCGCTGGAACAGTGGGCTTCTTCAGGAGTCCTGTAGTCTACGTATACGTTGTCTGCCTCTGACGTGTTTGGTGTGGATGCCGTCTCGGCAGTAAGATGTATAGCAAATGAACCAACGCGCTTCTATATCTACACTACCAAAGCTGCCATCCAAAACATTCTAAAACCAGCATCCTGTACTCACAAGCATTACGTATCAAAAACAAATGCAGCGATCCTATACATTTTGAACAGGAATGTGCCAATCTTATAAGAGATTCATGAAAAGAGGATATCCATTAAACTTATTAGCAGAGGCAATTAACAAAGCAAGGACCAAGTCCAGAGAAGAACTACTTAACCCAGAATGGAAGGGGCGTAACCGCAAGGTTATACCTTTCGTCATTCCACATAACCCACTGAACCCACTAATCGGACAGCTTCTTAAAAAATACCAACACATTCTTAAGACAGGGGCCAGGGAAGAGGAGCCTTTTAGAATACAAAATGTTTGTTGCATGCACAAAACCGAAACTGATCAGGAATATGTTAGTAAGAGGCAATATCAGCCGTGACTGCCCGGCTGGGCAGTGGACCGTGCGACAGGAATTGCAGGATATGCGTACACATGAAACCCACAAACAGCTTCAACAGTTACACTAATAAAAAAGAATACAAATTACAGGGCCACATCACATGCCAACGTGTGAATGCAGTGTTCTTAATATCATGCAAAAATGTGGAATGCAGTATATCGGACAACAACAACAATGATAAATACATGCATCACAACCATTTATATAGTGTCATTCGGATAAACCAGTGGCAGGATATTTTACGTCTCCAGGTCACCACATACATGACCTCATAGTTACAGGTATTGTGAAAGACGTCATGAGTACCAACTGCCGTCACAGAACAGAGGAGAGTTGGGTTCGTATGTTGCGTACAACACAACCAGAGGGTCTTAATATCATCGCATGATGGCCAACACTAAAAAGACAACCCGCTGGAAAACAGAACTCAACAGGAAGGAAACTTAGACTACCGTGTATCAGATGCGGTAAGACATACGCTAGTTTGAGAAATCTACAGAGACATGCAGACACAGCGCATGAATTTATAAAACTTGGTACAAGTGTAAACATTGTAAACATACTTATGGGAGGGATGGAGCTTACAAAGAACACCTCATGGACAAACACCCAGGATACTTTGTGGAACCAGAGACGTTTGAGGATCACACTTAAGAACAGGCAACCAAGCCAGATAATAAACGCCCATTCGAGGCGCTTACCAAAAAACAATTGGACCAGGTGAAATTCAGGATTAAACCATCACAAGGGATTAGTACAGTAGGACCAACATGTAAACAGTTTAGGCCTGTACGTACTGGATGAAGCTCTAGAAACGCTCAAGGCAGACCTTGAACTATCAGACAGTGATGACATGGCGTCCACATCAAACACGTCAGAGGCAGACAACGTATACGTAGACTACAGGATTTCGGGGTACAAGTCACAATCTACATCAACAGTATGTCAGGACGAACTTGAACACTTCAATACATGTCAATAGTGCTTATAGGCAAAAGAGACTTATACTTATGCAGAACTATATACACACATATATATAGAGAGAGATTTAAAAATAATAAGTGAATTGTATGTAACAAATTAATGTGTTCAGATATTACTGACTAGATAATGCGCATTTACTTAAGATAACCGCGTTGAAACATTATAGACTGTTAAAAATAGATATGATCGTGTGACTTAAATTGTTTCACGTCACAATCAACAATATAAATGTGGCCCAAATTTTAGTACTTCAGGGGACAAATTCTGTCATTTAATCGTCCTGAAGAAGCCCACTGTTCAGACAAAACTGGTAGACGTATCCTAATAAAGAAAACTCAACTGATCCCAAGCTTGTTGCGATTGACACCTATTCTTCGTTTCCCCTATTTTTCAATCGCCCTGTATACTGGTTGGTATCCAGGCAAGGGACATACGGAACCAACCAAACCTGAACTAAAGTAACGGCGTTGGCTCTACTCCTGGAGTGATGTTAAATTGATTATGTATCTGTAGAAAATGTGTTGGTGAGTTTGTTTATATAATTGTGAAGTAAACTTTGTTTTATTTGTACAGGTCCAGAGTACCACTGGGTCTGCAGGCCAATAAATCCTTACTAGTCAAAGCAGTCAGTGCAGCAGAAAAATCAGTATCGTCCAAAATGCAAGAAATACTCAAAGAAAGGAAAATGTACAGTGAGAAAGGTAGGAATAATATTACATCCCAACTTAAAGAGTTTTTTAAAGGGGCATCACGGTGAAGTAACTTTATTTTTTGTCTTTTTTTCAAATACTACATAAGCATATCAAGTGAGACTCCTTATGGAAAATAACGATCGGATTTGGCTGAAATAGATTCATAAAAATGATTAATTCTAAGAAAATCATCGGTATTTCTACCTGTCTGACCAACGTTTTGTTCAGGGATTTTCCCTCTACTAGCGCATGCGCATAGCACACCATTTCTTTGTAAACAAAATGACTGGCCGTGTGAAGTAAGCGAAAGAAAAGTGTTGTACCGTGTCAGCTACGAAACGAAAAGTTGCCAAATGGTCAAAAGATAGCGCAAGGAGTACGTTACGGAATCATTATTGCAGGTGGGCAGTTTTCAAGGGAGAAGATAACTGCCGTAGCAGTTAGTACGGTGCATGTATTCTTCCGGATAGCCAGTTAAGCTGAAATGGAATCGACAGAAATGCTAGCGCTGTTTATGTTATGAATAAATATCTAAAACTATTAAGCTCACTAGTATCTTTGTCTGAGTTTGAACACAGATGAACTTAGTTTAATATGTTAATGGGCATGTATTGGAGAGAGTTTACTTTGTGTTTCTAAAATTATACAGTGGTTTATGCGAAAGGAAGGGATAAGTGACTGGTTAGTTTGATTTTTCTATGAGGCCCTCCAAGGGATAACTGTTTCGAAGGCCCACAACGTTTTTTCTGGGTCATCGAGATACGTGTTATCGAGGTCCGTGGATTTACATAATTTATAATATTACCGGGTTCAATAAAATGGTATGATTTAATCATATTGCTGAATTAACGATTATTTTTGTTTTTACATGCAAGATTTAAATTAGTACTAATATGAATACCCGGCCTCCTCTGCCCCGGCAACATATAAAAAAAACCAGAAAGGTTTGTCCCTTGGTGTAGGGAAGGTGTTTAGCCCCGTACCATCTGTACCGGCCACATTCCGGTACTAAATTCAATATATATTTAAATATATCTACTTTATGTTTATGCCTATTATCATTGTTGACATTTAATTGTAAATGTATGACGGGAGAAGGCTGTGATAAATTGTAAAAACTTGTGCCCCATCCCTTGTTTAATTTTATTGGCAACAAATTTATGTTTAAAGCTAAATAAATTTAAATTCTGAATATTGGCAAGTGTGCAATTAACTTCTAATGATGAATAATTACTGTTCAATAAGTTTGAATACGGACTTAGAAATCATATAACTTGGTTTCATAGTGTGGTAAGAAGTTGCAGTTGCCTGACGGCCCCTCTCTGGGGGCCCCTTTGGAAACCGTTTCATCTCGCTCGCACCACTTGTGTTTACTGCCTAGTCAGATGACGTTATCGGCGCTATTTTTAGCAGGGCTTTCCCGAACAATTCAAGTGGTCAAACTGGACATTTGGAACGGACTATGAATATGGGGATAGCGTGGTAACATAAGTGGAAGTGCATACAATACATACATTCATTAGAAAAAAACGCCTTTTCACGTGATGTCCCTTTAATTATCAGAAAATTTTGAAAATATCATTGCAAATTTAGAATGGCTTACAACATTGAGTTCTTAGATATTTCTTAATAGACACATCAAATGACAGAATATGAAATTAGATGGTTTATTGTAGTCTATCATAGAGGGTCAAATATTTCTTGTTTAATTTATGAATGATTTTAATGCTTGATAAATTTGTTCCAGAGAGTGCTACAGTGCAACCTATCCAGAGGGGAAATCGATCCTGCACTGAGTCAGAGGACAGTTCCCCAAATACAAGTAACAACTCTGAGCTCCTCGCTGTCAAGTCTAGGACTGGAGCCCAGAAACATGTGAACATTGGGGTGGCTGGTCGGTTGGGCAAGGCAGCTGTGGGAGTCAAAGGTAGGGTGGGGGTACGGCCCGTACCACGCCAGGGTGAGGCTCATATGGATATGATAACCCCCATGAAGGTGACCTTAAGCAGTGGGATAAAGCCTAAATCAAACCTTCAGCTGGTTTCCCAGGCTCCAAGAGAGAACAGACTGTTCAAAGATCTGAGATACACCATTGCAAATGACACAGAGAAAATCAAGAAAAAGCCAGGTATTAACTTTTTTAATATTTTATATGGCAGTTTTCATTATTCCACATCTAAGTAACTTTTAAACTAGGTAAGTTTTTCAGACTTGAAGGCAGTGGGTCACATGAGTTTGCTTGTGTCCGTCTGTCCCACCAGGATATGATAAATTGGTACCTGAGAGATTATAAAGGTATATTAAAGGATTTTCACTTGTTGTCACAAATTTATAACATGACTGCTTGTGACTTGTTACATCAAAACCATTCTCGACTCATGCACTGGTAAGGCTTCTTGGAAGTCATAATTAGTTAATGAGTGATTTAGTTTAGTAAAGAGTGGTGAAATAGGAAATTGTGTTCCATCAAATAGTGATGTTTGTAAAAGATGATGGAAACAGTTTAACTTATTTCCGCGATTTATTTTAGCATACATTCTAGGAGCTGTTGGTTGTGACACATTGGTTCCCATTCTGGTAGCTGGTGGTTGTCACACATTGGTTCCCATTCTTGTACCTGGTGGTTGTCACACATTGGTTCCCATTCTGGTAGCTGGTGGTTGGCAAACATTGGTTCCCATTCTGGTAGCTGGTGGTTGTGACACATTGGTTCCCATTCTGGTAGCTGGTGGTTGTCACACATTGGTTCCCATTCTGGGAGCTGTTGGTTGTCACACATTGGTTCCCATTCTTGTACCTGGTGGTTGTCACACATTGGTTCCCATTATCGTAGCTGGTGGTTGGCAAACATTGGTTCCCATTCTGGTAGCTGGTGGTTGTGACACATTGGTTCCCATTCTGGTAGCTGGTGGTTGTCACACATTGGTTCCCATTCTGGGAGCTGTTGGTTGTCACACATTGGTTCCCATTCTTGTACCTGGTGGTTGTCACACATTGGTTCCCATTATCGTAGCTGTTGGTTGTCACACATTGGTTCCCATTCTGGGAGCTGTTGGTTGTTACACATTGGTTCCCATTCTGGTAGCTGGTGGTTGTCACACATTGGTTCCCATTCTGGGAGCTGTTGGGTGTGACACATTGGTTCCCATTCTGGTAGCTGATGGTTGTCACGCATTGGTTCCCATTCTGGTAGCTGGTGGTTGTGACACATTGGTTCCCATTCTGGTAGCTGGTGGTTGTGACACATTGGTTCCCATTCTGGTAGCTGGTGGTTGTCACACATTGGTTCCCATTCTGGTAGCTGGTGGTTGTCACACATTGGTTCCCATTCTGGTAGCTGGTGGTTGTCACACATTGGTTCCCATTCTGGTAGCTG